TCCTCCTCCTCTTCCTCCTCCTCCTCCTCCTCCTCCTCCTCCCCTCGTGTGAGCGTTTGCTTGTTCGGCGTTTCGTCCTTGGGCAGAAGAGGGGGGGGAGGGGGGGGCACCATGCAGCTATATTCCTTCCTGTGTTTCCTCTCCGCGGACCGGCCGCACCACACCCATCCTCTTGCTGCTTCTGCCGGTGGAGGTTGTGGAGGAGGAGCTTGAAGTCGGAGAAGGGGAGAGGAAGGCGTCCGGCCTGTACGCCTCATCGTCTCTGTACATTATCCGGCGGCGAGCGAGGCGGGGAAGTGAGAAGGAGAAGACCTTCTCAGAAGGCTCGGAAGTTCCCTGGCCTTCTGAAAAGTGTTCTAAGCCTTCCCCGAGGACAAACAAACTTCTCAGAAGGCGCAAGGGCTTCTGAGAAGTCCCGCCGCCTTCTGAGAAGGCCTTCTCCTTCTCATTTCCCCCCTCGCTCGCCACCGCTCCCGCGAGAGAAACGATGCGAGAGAGCGATGGGCACGGGAAGCGCCGGCGCCTGAGTTCAGGCGAGGCCTGCCGGTCTTCGTGGGTGTGCAGAAGAGACTCTCCGGCTCCGCGGGGTCCTGGATGAGGCTAGCCATGCCCGTCCCCTCCTCCTGATGTTCGCCCGTCGTCTCCAGCTGATATTTCTCATGCGCCGCCTCAACCCCTTCGTGGTTATCCTCGTCATCGTCCTCCTCTCCTCCACTTCCTCTTCCTGTGCCTCCTTCTTGTCATTGTGTTCCCTTCTCCTCCTCCTTATGCGCCTTCTCATTTTCCTTTATACTCCCGATATTTGTGTCTCATGCTCCGCCTTCTTCTCTCTACCGTGTTTTTATTCGTTCTCCACACACAACGCTGGGGCTCTCACGTGAACGCCTGCAGCCCAGCACGTGCCCGACAGAATGGTTCTCCGCGCTCTCTGCGTCTAAACATTGCCCAGAAAGATCACGTTCCTCCTCATCTGACGCGGCGGCCGATCCAGCTTGCTGCATTTCAGAACTCATGGAGTGCCCGTCTGGCAATCGTCTGCACCGCTTATGAAGGCATAATGCAGTTCTTCGCCGTAGCGCCTCGCACATGTCGCACAATAATACAACAGTTACACAGGTAGAGGGCGAATGGTGTTCAACATGGGCCGTCTCGCTCATTCGCGGCGCTAACATTCGTCTTAAACGTTCCCCGAAGCTTCAAGGATGGAGGACGGCTCTTTTTGAAAGTGGGACTTTTGCTATGGACTCCTTCAATCTGGTCAGAGGCGGTTTGCGACAGGGCCGAACACTTCACAACATGGGGCCACGAAACGTGTGAGAGGTGTGCCGAAAGGGGCCTGGCGGAGGCATGTGGGGTCTCCCATTGGGGCATTCGGTGGAGCTCCCTGTGGGGCCACGAGACGTGTGAGGTGTGTGCCGGAATGGGTCGTGCGGACGCACGTGGACCCTGCCACTGGGGCCCTTCGGTGGAGCTCTGTATGGGGCCCCGAAGCGTCTGAGGGGCATGCCGAATATGTGTCGTGCGGACGCATGCGGCGCCTGCCACTGGGGGACTTCGGTGGAGCTCCCCTACGGAGCCACGAGGCGTGTGAGGTGTGTGCCGACATGGGTCGTGCGAGCGCATGTGGGCCCTGCCACTGGGGCCTTTGGCGGAGCTCCACATGGGGCCAGGAGACCTGTAAGGCGTGTATCGGGGGGCAGAGGCAAGGGGTAGGAGCGGGGAAGGTGGGAGAAGGAGAGGGAGGGATGGGGCGAGGAGGGGGATAAGACGCGGGGACTCTTCAAAACGAGGACACCACATAATGGTTGAGAAGCATGAACTTCACGACAGTGTCGGCGCATTCCCTCGTGATCGCTTGCCCGCTTCACCCATCACTCGCCTCGGACCGGGGATACCCACGTGCTTTGTATCACGTTCGAGTGCACTGGCGCTTAACAATTACCACACACCCAAGGCACAATGTGATTCGTGCGGGCTTGTTCCATCCGCTTTCACGTTTCACTGCGCAATCCTGGCTGCAGCGATGGCCGCCCCTGGTTTCCAAGTGTTTTCTCTTCCCCCACCCTCCGCCTCGTCCTCCTCCTCCTTCTCCCTCCTCCCCCTTCTGACCTTCTTCGTTTCCAGCCGAGGATAATGAGGCGGAGGAGGTCCAAAGTAAACCCACTATGCATTCACGATGCTGCAATACACCCTCCCGTCCTAAGTCCTCAGTTCCCTCCTCATACGTTCCATGCAAGTGTTTCTCTTCGCCACGGCATGCGCCCCCTGTGCTCGGGGTTCTTTTGATCGCTATTGGATCGTCTCGAGGCCTTGCTGGACCGTCGCGAGGTCGTCTGGTGACGCTCTTTGCCCGTCTTGGGGATCTGTGGCTCGGTGAAAACTCACGCGGGGAGTCCAGGAAACGCCTGAGAGCGCAAAGGAATTTCGGGAAATCGAGTGTGGGGGCTCTGGAAGAGGCTCACAGATCTTGTAGCCTTGGGGCACCGCACTTCGTGCTGAATGCGCGATGGCGGCTCGGATATGGTAGAGAATACGAATACGTAAGGGTCACATAGCTCAAGGAGGTACCCAGCAGAGGCCCCGCGTTGACGAGGAACCGCGCACCCTCCGTAAATCTGTTAGGCATGTCTACGCTTCTAGCTTCAGCATTCGATGACGCAAACGAAATCCCCAAAGGGGAGCTCAACCGCAGGCCCTAGCGGCAGGGTCCACATGCGTCTGCACGACTCATGTCGGCACATCCCTCACTCGCTTCGTGGCCCCAAATGGGAGCTCCACCGAAGGTCCCATTAAGAAAATCCACATGCGTCCGCACGACCCGTTTCGGTACACCCGTCAGGCGCTTAATGACCCCATAGGGAGTTCCACCGAAGGCCCCAGAGGGAGGGTCCACATGCGTCCGCCCGACTCGTTTCGGCACACCTCTCACAACCGTCGTGGCCCCATATGGGAGCTCCACCGAAGGCCCCAGTGGCAGAGTCCACATGCGGCTACACTGCCCATTTCGCAGACTGGTGCGACAGTTCGCGGAACCCCTCCTGGATTCTTCCTGAAGAAAGTTTTTGGACAGTTGTTGGAAGGTCTGTCCAGAGCTCGGGGGGGGGGGGAGCGAGGAAGGTTGTGGGAAGGTTTTCTCCAAAAAACCTTACAACAACCTTCCAAAAAGCTTCCAGAAACCTTCCAAGGACCTTCCAAAAAGGCTCCAAAAACATTTTAACAACAACCTTTAACATCTTCCAACAGCCTTGCAAACAACCTTCCAACAAATCTTCAAACAAAACCTTCCAACACCATCCAAACAAACAACCCTCCCCAAACAAACCCTCCAGAGGAAGGTAGTTGGAAGGTTTTAAACAAGGCTCTTCAAAAAAAAACCTCCCGAAAAAGGTTTTTGGAAGATTCTAGAAGGTCCTTCCAACAAAAAACTCCCGCGGAAATGTTTTAGGAGGTTTTAGGGAGGTTGTTCCAAAACAACCTCCTCAGGAGGGTTTTTAGACAGAGCCTTCCTAAAACCTGCAAGCAAACTTCCTCAGGAGGGCGGTTTGGAAGAACTTTCCGAAACCTGTCCAATAACCTCCTTCATGATGGTTTTTTGTTGGAAGAACCTTCCTAAAACATTCGAACATAACATTCCTCAGGAGGGTATGTTGGAAGATCCTTCCTAAAACCTTTCAGAAGCCGTTATCAAGAGGGCTGTTTGGAAGAACCTTGCTAAAACCTTCTAAACACCTTCCTCAATAAGGTTTTTATTTGGGAAGAACCCTCCTAAAACCTTCCTAAAAACCTTCCTCAGAAGGGTGTTTTGGAAGAGCCTTCCTTAAACCTTCCAAAAACGTTCCTCACGAGGATTTCGGGAGGGGTTGGGCGACCTGCCGCACCCAACTGCCATTTCGGCACACCCTTCACACGTTTCGTGACCCCATACGGAACTCCACCGAATGCCCCAGTGGGAGACCCCACATGCGTCCGCCCGACCAATGTCGGCACACCCCTCACACGTTTCGCCCAGAGGGAGCTCCAGAAAAGGCCCCAGTGGCACGGTCCAGTTGCAGCCGCCCAACCTATTTCGGCACACCTCTCTCACGCTTCGAGGCCCCATAGCGAGCTCCACCGAAGGCCCCAGTGGGAGGGTCCACATGTGTCTGCACGACCCATCTCCGCACACCCCTCACACGCTTCGTGGCCCCATACGGAACTCGACCGAACACCCAGGTGGGAGGGTCCACATTCGTCCGCCCAGCCCATGTCGGTACACCCCTCACACGCTTCGTCGCCCGATAGGAAACTCCACCGAAGGCCCAGGTGGGAGGGCCCACGTGCGTCCGCCCAGCCCGGCACATGTCAGTACACCTCTCTCACGCTTCGTGGCCCCGTCTCGTGCTCTCTGAGTTTCTCGGGGAAGAGGAGGTGGCGGGGCAGGAGGAGGAGGGGCATGAGGATGAGAGGCAGGAGGGAAAGGGGGAGGAGGGGGACAGGGAGGAGGATTATGAGGAAGAGGAGGAGGAGGAGGTGAGGGAGGAGAAGGAGGCGGAGGAGAAGGAGGAATACTAGGATGAGGAGGAGGAGGAGGAAAAGGAGAAGTAGGAGAAAAACAAACAGGAGGAGGAGGAGGAGGAAGAGGTGGAAGAGGAATCAGAGAAGGAAGAGGAGAAGGAGGAGGAGGAGGACAAGGGGGAGGACGAGGAGGAGGAGGAGGAAGAGGAGGAGGAGGAGGAAGAGCAGGAGGTGGAGGAGGAGGAGCAGGAGGGGGAGGACAAGGATGAGGAAGAGGAGGACGACGAGGAGGAGAAGGAGGAGGAGGAGGAGGAGAAGAAGGCTCGCCGCCGAATGGGGGGGCGGCCCTCCTGAGCCGCGGGTCGGCACAACTGCGGGGTCGCCTCCTCGCCCGCCGGGCCGCACGGGGTCAGCGGCTCGCGTAGGTCCTGCGGGCAGCGGGCGGCACGGGGGTGCCCTGCTATGGGAGGAACGAGGCAAGGGAGGAGGAGGAGGAGGAGGAGGAGGAGGAGGAGGAGAAGGATGACGAGAGGGAGGAGGAGAAGGAGTGGGGAGGGAAGAGTACGCGGAGGAGGAGGAGGAGGATGGAGGATTCGTAGGAGGAGGAGAGGAGGAGGATAGAGGGAGGAGATAGAGGGAGGGAGGGGAGGAGGAGGAGGAGGAGAGGAGAGGATGAGGAGGAGGATGTGCAGGGAGAGGATTAGGAGGAAGGGAGGAGGAGGAGCAAGGATGAGGAGGCGGAAGAGAAGTGGGTGGGACTGGGCAGGAGGAGGAGGAGAGGATGCGTAGGCGGCGGGGAGGGAAGGGGGAGAGGAGGAGTGAGGAGAGAGGAGGAAGGAAGGGAGGAGGAGGCGGAAGGGATGGGGGGAGGAGGAGGCGAGGATGAGGAGGGAGGAAGGGAGGAGGAGGGGAGGAGGAGGAGGGGAGGGGAGAAGGGGGAGGAAGTTGGGGAGGGAGGAGGATGGGGAGGAGGAGGAGGAGGGGGAGGAGGAGGAGGGAGGAGGGAGGAGGAGGAGGAGGAGGAGGAGAAGGAGGAGGATGAGGAGACCTCCTCCCTCTTCTCCACTCTTTTTTCCTCCTTATTAGTAACTCCTCCCTGTCGGACCCTGAGGCGGATCAGAAATTAGAGCACTGGGCGTTTCGCCTGAGACTTCCTTACCCTTCATGATCCTGAAGCTTGCAATTTGCAGCAATCTCACAGATGGAGAGCGGGTCGGTTTCAACATGTGGTTCCCGCCTTAGCGCCGTGCACTTTCGTCGTAAAAGGTTGCACTGGTTTCACTATGGAGGGCGGGTCGTTTTCAAGTGTGGCCCTCGCCTCAGCGCCGCGCACATTAGTCGTAAAAGTTGGCAGGTGCTTCACGGATGGAGGACGGCTCCTGTTCAAACTGTTGGTCTCGCCTCAGCGCAACGCCCATTCGTCTCAAGAGCTTGTAGAAGTGTCAAGGATTATGATGGCTGACGTCCCAAAAATTTCATTGTGGCACGGTCTGGGGCTGTCAGGTCGCGAAAGCCATGTTGATTCGCGGTCCTGACGTCCCATAATGGGTGCTCTGGCACGATTTAGGATCCGCAGGTTGCAACGGCAGCGTTAATTCGCGGCGTTGAAGTCCCAGGGATGCTGCTTTGGCACGGTAGAAGACTTTCAGACCAGGGTCTTCCAACGGTGCTCTTCCCCTCCTCCTCCTCCTCCTCCTCCTCCTCCTCCGCCTCCTCCTCCTCCGCCTCCTCCGCCTCCTCCGCCTCCTCCTTCGCCTCCTCCTCCTCCGCCTCCTCCTCCTCCACCATCCCTCGTCCTTCGTACACGAGTGCCGCGCGTGCCCACAGCTCCTGCACGAGGGAGAGGAGGGCGAAGGCCAGGCGCGGCGGGGCGAGGAGAGGGTGGGTGGGGGGTTCTCGAGGCCATCCTTCCAGGGCCGTCGTGGCCACCACGACGAGGAGCGCCGAGAACCAGAGAAGCGCCGAAAACCGAAAGGGCACCGAAAAGAAAAGGAACGCCGAAAACCAGCAGGAGGACGAAAACCAACAGAACGCCGAACTCAAAAGGTGCGCCGAAGACCAAAGATGCGCCGAACACCAACAGGACACCGAAAACCAAAAGGACGCCGAACCGAAAACCAGAGGAGTACCGACAACCAAGAAGGCGCAGCAGGCAGGGGCAGGGGGGCCCGCCAGGAGCGACGAGCGCAGCGCACGAGCCGACGACGAAAACCGGTGAGCGACGATCAAAAACGGGCCTGACGCGAGATGGGACAGCGACCTCACGCCGCGGCTTACGCGGGCCACCACGCGGCACGCTACAGTGGAGTCGAGGGCGCTCACGCGCGGCCTGCAGCTTACGCGCCACCGCCGGTGCAGACGAGCCCGCTTATTGACGTCGCTCAAGTGGCCCGCGCGCCCTGGCCCTTGCACGATCCGGTAGCGAGGGGGCCAGGGTGGGCGAGGCGACTGGGGCGAGGGCCAGTGGCAGGCCAGGGCGGGGGGGGGAGGGCCGGCCACGAACGAAACGAGCGACGAAAAGAAAGGGCTCGGGGGCCAGGGGGAGCGAGTGCGCTGGGGCGCGAGCACAATGCGAGCATAGCCGGGGGAGAAGCAGCAAGGGAAGCGGACAGGGACGGACGCAAGAAGCAAGCACGGAGAGTCGAACACAACACATCCAGAATCTGTCCTGGCCGTGCAGGTATCTGGCTCTATCTGTACTCAGTCAGAATCTAGAACAACAGATCCAGGATGTACCATGGCTGTGCTGGTATCTGACTCTATGTCTGTGCACAGCGCCTCAAAGCAAGCATTGCGCCGGCGCCGAGGCTCAGGAACTTGCTCACTCTTCTGTTTGTCGGAGGGGGCGGGAGAAAGGGTGGGCGAGGAGGGCGGTGCCGAAGCGGAATGCCCTGGAGTGTCCTGCGCGCCGCAGTGCTCGTGGCTCAGGGAACTGAACAGCGCCAGGCACCATACGGCGCGCCTGGTCGCGCCGCACTCTGGAGACGGCCGTTTCCAAAACGGGGGCCGTGGGGCCGTCGCGGCCAGGAAACAAACCACGCCGGATGCGTCGGAGATACTCTCTGCCCTTCTTGGTGGTACCGAAGCGCAGGCGCGACCCGCGGTGCGAGAGAGAGAGAGAGAGCTGCGGGATAGCGCCGTCGGCGGGGCGAGGGGGCATGCGCGCCTCGAGGCGCGCCCGGCCCGCGCGGGGCGTCCGCAGCAGGGAGGACATTCCTGCCGAGCCGCGGCGCGTGATGTTCGAGGGGGAGGGTCGGGGTCGTCCAAGAGGGGGGCACCAACATGGGGGGCTTGCAAATCATGGCCAGCGGCACGTGCGAGG